TTCTATGGTTCTGTGATTCTATAACATTTCCTTTAATTAATTCCTGCCCAAGAAGCTTAGAGTCAACCTAGTCTCTCACCTAAAGGCCAGCTGCTACTCCTGGTAAATACAGTCAATTCTGTAGTGCCATGGAAGTGGTCTGGCAGGGAAGGGAGGGAAGAAAACTTCCCTTCAGATTGGCACACAGCTGAAGATCCCAGACCAGGCTTGTGACAGAATTTGCACAGGGGTACATTTTTGGCCTTTTCAGTTGTTGTCCATGCTCCTTGGGCAGGTGGCTGTGATCCTCGCCCAGCCCCTTTGTCTTGCTCATGCGGTGGAGCTGTACCAACCACATCTTCTGTACTTGGGTCAAAGTGAGATCGTCCAGGCATTTGGAGAGCTAGTATTGACAGTAATTCAAGTTGCTTGTAAAGACTGATTAAGGAGGGGAAATGTCAATGGAACAACAACTGGTCGTTGTTATTCCTTACACTTGTGCTGAATTATAGTATTTTTTTCATTATTCTAAGCTTTTTTTTTAATCTGCTTGGGTTTTTTGAGGGGGAAAGCAGATCAACCATGCCTTTGTGAAGGAACTTCAATTTCAGTGTATATACTGTTGTTCCTGTTCTAAAAGAATTAACAGCTCGTTGCCTCTATTATTCTTCCTGCAATGAAACACTTGTCATTAATTTAGGATGACATTTGAAAACTTTTATCGATCCAACATACATATGTGCTATTATATGATGCAAGATGGTACTGATGAAAGTATCTGTATCCCAAGAAATTATAATTTATGATAAGTAAAATCCCTGCACAGAGACTAAAGCAATGATCAAGTCAGACTCTGTCACACTTGAATTGTGGATTTCAGTGATTACAATCCATGGATGAAAGTTTCTTGATTCAAGTAAATGTTATTTTTCTTGCTTTTAATACAGTAGCAGCTCGAAAGTGTGAAAAAGTTTGATTCTGGTGTGCATAATTTTTGATTTCTACCTTTTCTGGCAGAGCAGAGAACTTTTTGTACTCACGTATGGGGCTTTGGTAGCCCAGCTGTGCAAGGACTATGAAAAAGATGAAGATGTGAACACATATTTAGATAGAATGTAAGTACTGCTTTGAATGTTCAAATTTACTGATAATGCTATTTGTCCACCTCTATGTTACTTTCAGCTTTATGTCTGCTATCTTTTAAGTTCCAGCACTGTCTAGGATTACAGAGATCACAGGGGTAAGGTTCAATATTCTGTTAACAGAAATAACACTGATTTGTAAATGAAGAACAACAATTAACTTCTGAATTCTCAGAAGAAATGTGTCAGGATTGGTTTGACAGCTTACACTTGTTCCTTGGTCCTTTGTTAAACTAATAAATAATAATAGGAACTTATAAATTTCATCTCCTATTTCCATGTATTCACTTTCAACTTCTATCTTAATTCTCCTATTTCTTCATATCTATTTTATTTCAAACCAGATGTTTTCTATTTAACGTGCATTTCTGTGGCCTTCCTGTGTGTTCCCCTCATCTGGCTACACCATGGTTCTGTGACTGGGACAGCTAAGAGACAGTCATAATTCCAGATTGTAGGGACTTGGCTTACATGACTAAGTCAATAGGCAGTCTCCTTCTGTAATCAATCACCTTCCGCAGTGGTGTAATTTGGGTGTCTGACTTGGGAACTCTGAATTCCTCTGTGGGGATCCTTTTCACTCCCTCCCTGGGTTACGGGCAGGCCAGCAATGAGTGAGATGGCACAAATGGTCAATGAGGAACTGATTTTTACATGGATAACCTCTTTGAAAAATAAAGCTCCTGTTTTTATAGGAACCTGTCATCTTGACTAAGATTCCTAGGCATTATCACTGTAAAAATAATATCACAGCAAATCAGCATTAAACTACTTTTGAGCTCGTTGACAAGAAGATAGACCAAGATCTTTGGCAGGAGAGTAAGGCTTGTGTTTTCAGGCAAAATGGACATGCAAAATACATTCACAACAATAGCAGCGGACAGAATATTTAACCATGCTACTATTAATCTGAAAGCTTACAAACAAACTGTAGTCCAATAGCTGTCAATGGAAGTGATTAAAAATATCATTGAGTGGAAAAAAGAAAAATAAGTTATTCATTAAGAAAAGACAACATCTTCTCTATATTTATTTGATATTAATCTCTCATTCAGCTCTGATGAAAAACATATTTAAAAAATACACAGACTTCTTTCTGATGCTATGGTAGAAACTACTAAAGGGTAGTTTGGGAAGATGTAGAGACGTCTTTCTCTCCCTATATTTTCATTATTGTAGCTGTTTTTATAAAATCTTTTTAGTTTTCTCTTGATAAAGAGAAAGAATGGATAAAATAATGACAGGTTTCTTGGAAGCAATACGGCCTTCTGTGAGGATGAAAATAGCTCAGCTTGAGGAAGAAACCTTATGGATTAGCAGACCTGTGACAGTTGAGAACTCTATGTATGCATATAATCTGTAGTGAGAAGGGTGTTTTCCACTGTACAGTTGACAAATTGTCAATTTATTATTCATGTGACCTTGGAAATCTAAGGCATAAAAGTTGAAAAGCACCTAAGTAGCCATGTACATCACCAATAAATACCTTGCTAATTGCTGATGACATATTTACCATTATAATTGATGCTGATACTTAGGCAGTAAATATTTTATTGTTTTCTGATGCATGACATAGTGCAAATTTAAACTTTGTGCTGCCAAAACCACTTTTTGATTTTGTCATCAAATTAGACATCAAATCACTGTTTGGCTTCTTGTCAAATGCGTGGTACAGTATCAGTAAGAAGCTCCATTGAGTTCAGGCTGCTTCACTGAGGGGGTATCGTCTCTGACAAAGAGACGGAGATTGCCAACATCCACATAAATTGAAAGAAAAAATTCCATAAAAACATTTCTGAGCTGAGTTCATATTCTTAATTAAAATTTGTGTCAATCTCTTTCTGTTTTTCAAAAAGTGCTTGGAGGCATAGCTATTTTTCACACTGTGTAGTTACTGAATGTTGTTAATGTGCGAGAGCTAGAGGACTGAATGTTTTATAAAAAATTCCATTAACTTCCATCCTTTTTTTTATACTGTTTCCCTGAAACTGTAGTGTTTTAAATACAAAATTAAGGTGGTGTGGTACTGAAACTGTATATTAATTAGCAATTTTTGGATTCTTTCTGCAACTAGTACATGAAGGGAGAGAACACATTAGGAAAAAAGAGACAAAGAGGGAATTGTGGACGAAGAGTGAAAAATGGGGTGAAGAGATAAGAGAATAAAGTGAAAGAGATCAGGTGTGAGTCCATTTCCTGTGGGTTTTGCTGGCACCTGAACACTACAATGAGGGTGCCCAGGATTTGCTGAAGTTCGTACCAGCCTGGAGGTGAATGCTGTGACCTGAAGGGGCAGTTGCTTTGTTCTCCTTGACAGAAACAGTGTGAGATGAACTCTGGGGGTCACAGAGGAATGGAGTAAATCCTGTGCTCTGTTATCCTATTTTTAGTAACAAAACAGTATTAATGAGGTTTATTATTTGTATATGTTATATTATATATCTAACATCTGGTATTTATTCATATATATAAATATAAATGTATAGACAATGTGTATATAAATGACATTCATACAATTCTTGTCAGGTGTATCATACTTAAAGGAGTGTGATTACATAAATGACTACATGAACTGCAATCCCACTGTGCTGCAAATTGTGATAGAAAGAAGAATTTAGGCCAGCAAAATCTGTTGTCCTCAAAGCCATTCATTAAGGAATATGCAGCTGTTTTGCTGAGAAAGCACAAGAGACAGGTTAGGGACATGGTAGGTGGAAAGAAGTTCCCCACTTGGAATATTAACTTTCTTTGTTTGTTTCTTAGGGGATATGGCATTGGCGTAAGGCTGATTGATGATTTTTTAGCTCGTTCAGCTGTGAAAAAGTGCCGCAGTTATTCTGAAACCGCAGACGTGATTGCACAGGTAAATAAGATTTACATTCTCTGGAGCTTCATCAGCTTCAGTAGTCTTGGCTCTTCCCTCCTCCTCTACTGGTTTTCTCCAAAACAGTTGCGTATATTTTCTGCTGTATCACGACTGTCTTATCAAAAACCACTCACCTCAACAATCACACCAGTGCTTCCACTGAGTGAAAACCATCTTTTTCCTTATTTACAACTAGTAGCTCACATAAGTTGGTCATGAGAGATGATATAATTTCTTTCTCTGTAGCATAGTTATATATCGGGCTGGGCAAAACCCCCAACATTCACCAGAACACAAAAAATGTGTTGTTTAGTGAGATAAGAATTTTGTGGATGTGGTAAGTGTACCACAAAGGGTCATCAAAACTACCGAATCAGTACACGTGGGTATTAGTTTTACATCTGAGTTGAGGATAGAGAATAAAAAATGGAATACCACCCATGAGAGGTTACAAACCCTGGACTTAAACTGACCTTAAAGTCAGTTAGTTGCTAAGCTGAAGTTAAAAATTTATAGAATCTTGGAATCATTAAATGGTTTGCATTGGAAGGGACCTTAAAGGTCATCTAGTTCCATTCCCCCCTGCCATGGGCAGGGACACCTCCCACCAGACCAGGTTGCTCAAAGCCCCATCCAGCCTGGCCTTGAACACTTCCAGGGATGGCGCTGCCACAGCTTCTCTGGGCAACCTGGGTCAGTGCATCACCACGCTCACAGTAAAGAATTTCTTCCTACTTTCTCAAACTACCCTCTTTCAGTTTGAAACCGTTACCCTTTGTCCTATCACTACCCTCCCTGATAAAGAGTCCCTCCCCAGCGTTACTGTAGGCAGCCTTTAAGTACTGGAAGGCTTCTATAAAGTCTTCCCGGAGCCTCCTCCAGGCTGAACAGCCCCAGCTCTCTCAGCCTGTGCTCTAACCCTCAGATCATCTTCATGGCCCTCCTCTGGACCCTGTCCAACAAGTCCATGTCCTTCTTATGCTGAGGGCCCCAGAGCTGGACACAGTATCTATGTGGAATCTCATCAGAGTGGAGTGGAGGTTGAGAACCACCTACCTAAACCTCCTGGCCATACTTCTGATGCAGCCCAGGATGTGATTTGCTTTCTGGGCTGCAAGCATGCATTGCTGGCTCATGTTCAGTTTTTCATTCACCAATACCCCCAGGTCCTTCTCTGCTGCGCTGCTCCAAACTCGCTCATCGCCTAGCCTGTGCTTGTACTTGGGAATGCCCCAGCCCAGGTGTAGGGCCTTGCACTTGGCCTTGTTGAACTTGATGAGGTTTGCACAGGCCCACCTCTCATGCCTGCCAAGGTTATTTCTTCCTCGACTATTCCTAGTAGCCTATGAGGTGTTTTGCTGTTAGAATAATTTAAAAGTTTTTTTTTGTTTGCTGAAGCTTAAGCTGATTTCTTCTAGTATATCCAGATAAGGTGGCAAACAACAAAAAGTGATCCAGTCTTGACAAACTTCAAATCATACATTCCCTGACTTTTTCTAGGAGCAGAAGCCTTAACAATCTCGTACAGATCTTAAACTTTTATATTCTTTTATATTCTTTTATATTCTTTTATATTCTTATTCCTGCTATCTGAGCTCAGACCTGCTCGGTTCATGGTGAATGATCCCTTTCATCTTTTGATTTTCAGCTATGAAGTGTTGCCAGTGAAGATATGCCTAAACTTCCCCAATGGCAAAAACTTAACCACACTTTTTAACAAAGAACTCTTTGCTAGATAGTCATTTGTTTTAAGATGAGAGATCAGGGCATCAGTTAATTAAACTGAGATTCATTTTTGTTGGCTCATTTTAGAAGACAAAAATCTGCCTGGCATACTTTTTGATTTCTTGAGAATTACCAGCAGCACAAGCTAAAGGTGAGCATTATGTTTAATGGCTGACTGCAGAACTGGGAAACAGTAGGCTTTCTATACAGTGAACTAAGGCACCAGTATGTGCTGGTTATACAGGAGTATCTTACTTCAAAGTGTATGAGCATGTTATGAGGTCATGTGTGATCCTGCTCATATTAACCGTGTCAGAAATATCTGCATTGCATCTGAATGAAATGGAGGGATGGAAGTTGTGTTACGATTCCAGAATGTTTGTCATAGAAGAACCAATGGCTGCCACAAGAAACAGAGAAAAGACTCCTTTGCATTTGGTGTTGCTGCTGGGGCTATAAAGTACGCACGTGCACAGCACACACATACATCATGATCTGCTAAAGTTTAAAGCTGAAGTGTGTAACATTGCTAAAAGCCAGCCAGATTCCATTAGCTCGTAAAAACTAAATTTCTTCCTGAAATTATTTTGGAGTCTCAAAGCAGGATGAGGTGTAACAAAACTCCTCCTCTGGAGAAGCTGAGCTCCCATAGAAGATCCATTAGAGATAGTGAGGTCAGCTGAATGAAAACCGTAAGACAAGCAGCATTTCAATCATTCTATTAAAATACACTGTCTTGTTAAAAAAATGATACCAGCCTACAAAATCAGATTTTTGTTCACTTCTCTGTTCTTCTTCAGGTAGTATTTGTTTTCTCTGAGTTTTCACGTATATGCTAGATATCTAGTTTTATGGGTATTACTCCTCATAATTCCCTTGTTTAAAAATGCTTTAGTGCAGTTGAACCATCATTCTTAAGTACAAAAATACAGGGAGAAATTAAGCATCAAAGTGAGGCAAAAGACACTGTTTCTCTGCAGGTTGAACTTGAAAAGAGACTTACTGAGAGAAATAAAATTACCTGGAAAGATTGGAAAAAACTTTAAAGCACACGGTATCTTGAAAAGACTATTTTTAGCAAACTGAATGAGGAGTTCTGTAGTAGGAGTATAAACTTTCTGAGGTAAAACATGATATAGAAAGCATTTTCACATTTCTTTGGCTACACATTTTTTAAACAGTCTTTGAGCATGTTTGTCTGAGGCACATACCAACAAAACTTAACGTGAAATGACCCAGTAAGTCACTGCAAATACGCTGTTAAAGTTACCAGTTCAGGATTACACAGCAGTTTATGCAGTCTCTTTAACTCCTCGACTATCATGTTTTCAGCTGAGAGAAAGTGCTTAAATTCTTAACTTTACTGACTCTTCTGAGGTAGAAATCTGTTTGACAATGAGTACGTAGAGTAAAACCAGTTCAAAGTTAAAGTAATTAAGGCAGTTAAGCAGTTCAAACAGTTGGAGCCAAACTTCCTGTAAACATAGCTGCTATCTTGTAGTCCTCTGGAGAAGTCTGTAAGATCAGTCTGTGGGAGTTCCCTGTGGAAATGGAAAGAGATAAAGCAAAGGAAAAAAAAAAAAGGAGTACAAAGCCAACTTACCATATTAAGAAAAAAAAAAACAGAGGAAAGATGCACCTAAGGCAGTGGCTGAGGTCTTAAAACTTCAACCACTGGTTCAGACTTCAAATGCTGGGATTTACTGCTAGCTTATATTGGAGTGGAGAAGGGCCAACAAGTTTTGATGATGAGCCAAAGTGAGTCCTTCTGCACTCAGTTCCCTTGGTGCCCGCTGACTTTTTGTGTTGATGCTGTGAGTTTGAGTGGTTACAGTTGGGACTGAATAAAAAAAAATTAAAAATAGGCCAGGTAAGAGTAGGCTTTCTTCTCACTGGCAAATTGGGATAAGAAAATGGAAACTAATTGAGGATGGCATCAAGAACAAAGTTGAGTTAAAGTAGGAGTGTCCAAGATTGGATTCAGAATTTGGAACAGAGTATAACTCAGCATTACTTTTGAAATTGGGGTGATAATTTTGCTTTATGATCCTTCAAAATCAAGGTTATACTTCAGTTCCTCCTCAAAAAAACTTGACATCATCGATCTGATGGAAAGAGATGCAAAAAATAAACAGCTTCTGGTTTTAGATCTAATCACAGAGCAACATTACCTTCTATAGCACAACATCCCCATGCTCCAGGAGGTGTCTGTGTGTGCTACAGGTGGGAGCACCTGGGCTGTTCTGTTCCACAGTGAGCAAGTGCTGTGCTCACAGGCTCTATGGCTGAGTTAACACAGTGCTGTGCCTGAGGATATATCCCTTGCTGAGAAGCAGTGGTTGGAGAGATGGGCTTTGTTGTGGAAGGTCAGTGCCCCCTGAATGCAGCAAAAGTACATCTCTGCAGCTACTCGTAGAGAGACCCCTTGGGTGCTACCAGTTTTAGGACAAGAGATGTGATTCCCCTCCCACAGGGAGTCCTGCCACAAGGTCCCTATATATTGACATAGGGCCAGTTTGAAAGTCGTGACAGAAGCTGTCAGAATTTACAAAGCTGGTAAATGTTGATTTTCGGATCTCAGCAGTGAGAGGGAAATGCATACAGCAGGTTGCTGTGCTAAGGGGTAGACAGTAAACTGAAAAATGAAGTGCTGCGCTGTAAAAAGTAAAGAAAAGTTTGTGAGTCCATGGAATCAACAACAGATGGCAAGACCTTTAAAGCATCTGCTCTTCCCAAACACTGACTGTGGAAAAGTACAGAGAACGGAAAGCATGCTAGCAAAGATGTTATTTTGGCTGCCTTTCCCCCTCTAAAGCAGATCAATTCTGGTCCTTCATTAATCTTACGATTATGTCATCTGAAATTATTATTTCGAGTTTTAGTAGCCTGTTTTACCATTAATTTTGCAACATTACTTACGAATGCGATGTTTTGTACTGAGAAGTCACCAGTAGCATATAAAGGGACTGATGTGTTAGTGGTCTCCTAAATATTTCTGTAATTCTAGACTGTACTGAGCACTATCAAAATGTTAGTGAATTTTACTCTTGCTGCTTGAGACAGATGGGATGCTGGTTAAGATTTGGAAATAGTACATTTTTAATTCTGACTGGATAGATTTCTTGTTTGACATTAAGCAATATATAATCCCACAGAGTTTATCTTTTCAAAAGATAGATTTTGCTTTATATGGGTGTAATTTTGATAGTGATCCTATGTACATGTCTGAGTAGATAATTTTATTTCTTCCATTTTATATAGAAAAAAAATGAGACAGATTTAAGGAGGCAACTTTCAAAACCACTTGTTCATTTTACTTCCCTGTCTTTTGGAGTCACAAAGAAAGATTGAAAAGACCTTTGTTTTACGCTCTAAGAAGTTGTGCATAAGAGTTTTAAAGGACTTTCTGTCCAGTCATATCCTGGCTTTCAAAAGTTGTTCATATCTATTCATTGAATTACTTATCTGTATACTTAAATTGTTTTTTCAAGACCTCTTTACAATTTTCACGTTATAGCTTTGCAATTTTACCTTAATTTGGTGCTCTGCTGCACACTGGCTACTGGTTTCACATAGTTTCCATGCAAGTTTTCTTTTACAAGAGGAAGTTTTAACAATAGAGTCTGGACAGATTTGTCATACCGTAATGCAAAGTACAGCTGAAACTAAATTGAAAGCATATGAGGCCTTAGCACAGTTAACTAGGTTTTGGTGTTGTAAGAAAGATTTAAAGTTTGACAGAGCAGCAGATGTGTAGTGGAAGAAGAGTTAAGGGAATTTAAATGAGCATGTTGGGTTGTCACAGAGAAGCAGTAGTAAACTGAGGAACAATGCACAGAGAATTGAGCACAAGTTTCCTGTTTATTTGTGCATGCATATTTTGATGGACGTCAGAGTTAATGTAGAATCTAAATTTTTCAGGAGAAAATATTGATTCTACTGTTTGTTTTGTTTGTTTGTTTTCTCCCAGTTTGTTTTGAATAGCATTTACAATAGTCTTCACCTCTTTCTGAGCTGCCATTGTTGATACAAAACGGCGTTTGCAGTAGCTGCTTGAAGGACAGGGTTAAATTTACCAAAACCAGTTGAAAAGGTAGGATCACACTGGCATTTATTTTTGTCTGTTTTTATAGAAGCATTCCAACATCCACATGGAAATTGCATTAAGTCACAGGAATTTTGGAAAGACAACACGGAGTAACACAGCCCTGGGAACAAGGGTCAGTGAGAGACATAGGCTCCTTCCAGGCACATGTTGCAGCACCAAGTGTTCAGCAGCTGCTCTTGGGGGTGGAGACACTCTAAACATGAGCTGAACCTCTAAACATGATGAAGGGTAAGGATGAGGAGAGAAGAATGCACTTTGGTTTTACCCTTCCATGAAAAAGGAGAGGGCTGAACTGGGAAACACTACTTTCTCCTGAAGAAAAAGAGGGTGCCAGATGTCCAAAGGGGGATCTCTCTCTCCCCACACCTTTTCCTCTGCCAACTATGCTTTTGCATCCCAGCTCTTATCATCCTTACATCAACCCAGTTGTTTCTCATATTCCTTGACTAGCTTATTAACCTACTTAGTGTCCTCCCCACTTGCATCCCTATTTATTTTTTTTTGCTGTTGGTGGTTTTATTTCTGTCATACCCGTGATTAAGCAGGTGGAAAAATGGATTTGGGAAGTTTGGCCCAGACAGTGGGGATGTCATGTTAGGTGGCGTCTCCTCTCCCCTTGAACGTAAGGAGGAGGTGGATGGGGCTGGGCATCTTTCTTAAAGAAAGATAAAAGCAGACAAATGGGAAAGGACATGTATCCTGGAATTAGGTAGTTAATATACCAGGAGAAGAGCCAAGGGAGAAAAATGAATATGCGCCAGACGTGGTGTCAGACACGCCTGTTGTTGTGACTTTCATTTTAGCAGTGTTGCCTCTGTGCTTTCAGCTGCAGCAGGTGTATTTAGGCATGTAACACGTTCTAAGTCTGCTGCAAAGTGGGCCTTTGCTCAAAGGCCACAAGTTTCTAAAAACACAGAGAGAAAATTCTAAGTAGACAGTGGAATTAGCTCTTGGATTTTATTTTTAAAAAAGAGTAATGGTCTGTAAATGCAGATAGATGAGTGTGTTGGGTTGTTTTTTTTCTGCTGGAGCACTGCAGTTAGTATAAGGACAGCTGGGCAGAGTACCTACCCTGGTTTGTTGGTAAGAGCTTGATTGACACAGAGCACAAATACGATTCTTTGCAGATTCGGGGAGGCTAGCAGTAACGTGCTGCATAAAAGCCTGCCCAGACAGCCCACCAAAAAAAACTTGGCAGAAGTTTTTTTTCTCCTTTTATACAGTGTTTGCAACAACTGCGGACGACCCGTCTGAGAGCCTTGTGGGGAATTCCAAGTGAGTGAGGTAAAGCATGTGGCTCTGGGGTGAAACACATTTGTCACGAGCACTGATTGTACTGTCACCTCACTTGCATTGCCTGCCAATTCCTCTTGCTCCAGACACTAAGTGTCCTAAGATGTTCCTGAATATCCTAAGATATTCAGAAAAATGAAAATGAGCCTGTTGCAAAAATATTTGCTTGTCTTAAAAAGTGGAATTTCCTTCCAGGCCCTCTGTAGCACACTGGCTGTAGGCCCAGTACAAACAATATTACAGATTTCTGCAGGCTGCACCCAGTGCCTGAAACCCACTGAAAACAGGAGCTTTATACCCATACAAAGAGAAATTCTCAGTGGGACAAGATAATATCAAGTACTCTATGGAGGCAATTTCCTTAGTGTAACAAAGCACCAACAACAACCAAAATGTGATTTTTTTTTTTTACAAAAACATGAAAATACTGAACCATTTGCTTATTTCAGGTTCTTGGTACCCTACACTTTGGCTTTAAGATTTGTCTAAAAAAGTACCTGGCACCTCACTGTCAATGGAGGTCACTGCCCCATGTCCCAGGCAGATGTCTCAGGGACTAGAAGATGAAGGCTGATCACTGTGGCCATCCATGATGTTTTAGGTGCAACAGGAGTCCAATACACTGAGGTGCCTCAAAAAACTCTGCACTTGCAAATGGCCTGGAAATGAACAGGAAGAAAACCCTTTACTTTCTGTGGGCTGTCAGAAAGCCACACACGTCTTCTGTTACATTCACACCTTTTAAATGGTGTTACTGTATCACAGTCTCTTGATTTACACAGGACAAGCATACCAGAACACCTTTTTCATAGGGTATTGTTAAAACCCTCTTGCAGAAGTCATTATTCATTTCTTTTTGCTGTCAGCTCTTGATCTGGAGCCAGTGACATTAGCAAAGCATGAACCCTAGGTGTGGTGGAGGACTGTGATCTTTTCAACAATGAAATAATTTCATTCCATCCTTTTCAAGCAAGTTTGTAACTGGGAGGGAACTTGATGAGGAAGAAAGACGCAATTGTGAAAAAATACAGAGGTGAAACCAGCTAGAAGTATGCTGCATTAGCAAGATATAAAAAAGCTGGAAATATATTTGTTCTATGGTATTTCCCTTCTGTCTACAGAGTCCAGGATTGTCTCTCTCTCCTCATTGATTTCTTTCTGACCTTCTTCAACTAGCCTGTGAATTGTGCTATAGTGCTTTTTGCTACTGCTGAAGGAGTAGAGCCGGGAAGCATCTTCCCATGCCTGAAAACTTGGCAGGGGAATTGCTTCTGGTTCCCTGTTCTCAAAAAAGCACTTCAGGTTTCGCTCGCTCAACTTGGTGGCATACAGCTCGAAAATCTGCTCCAGTTGCTCCTTCTCCTTCTCCGCATACACCCTCCAGAACTTCAGCTGAAGGTGGCTGACTTTCGACTGGCAGCTGGCACAGCAAGTGGTTAGCAGGGAGAGGAGAGCTGCGGTAACTATCACACACCAGCCTAAAATCTGGGAAAACAAAAGAAATGAGTTTCAGGTTAAAGAGGTCCAAGTGAAAATGCTGCTTAAATCAAGAGTGTCTGGTGGAGCAACACTTTGTATTGAGGGCCTGCTGCTCCTCTTGGCAACCTACTGTGGGCATCTCATCCCAGTTCCTGGCATTAGTGTTAATGGGGTGTCCGTATGAGGACCAAAGGGAAGCAGAAGGTATCAGGATTGAGGCTCCTCAATAGTGAGCATTTTGGTGTCTCTCTCTCAGGCAGGCAAAAGCTGGATGCTTTTTACAGTGGAAGGTAAAATGTGCAAGAAAAGTTGGCTCATACAGAGTCTTGGTGTCTCCACATCCCATTTTTTAACAAAGGGAACTCAGGTAACAGCAGCTGAAGCGATATGTCCAGTGCAACAGCAATGCAGGTTCAGCGACAGATGATCTCGAATTGGACCTCAACTACAAGATTGTGTATGAAGAAAAATCTAAGAGAGGTCTAAATGATCAGCCAAATAATGTTATATCCAAATAGAGCTATACAGAAGACAGAGCAGACCTGAGAGCAAGTGTAGAGGATATTGATGAAAGTTTATTTCAAAACTATGGCCATCTGACATGTAGTGTGTTGTTCACTGAATTATGTCAGGCAACAGGAAAAGTGCATAGGGAAAATAAAATATCACAGTCACTAGATGATAAATGGTTTTCTGTCTCCTGAAAGCAGTTCATAAAATTGCTCAGCAAGAATTAGGATCAAGTCAGAATTCTGAATTTGACAAACTACAAAACCAAAAAGAGTAGTGACTTTTGTCCCAGATCAATCAACTTTTAAAACTGTGATAATTTTTAGATGTCTGATTTTCAGACATCCTTTTAAAACAAACAAACAAACAGCAAACCAACAGCTTCATTAATTAGCTAACAGGAATATAAGAGATGGTCTTAAATTTAAAAAGTGTTCCCCAATTCAGGAGATTTAGTGAAACCTATGCTAGTGAACTTTTTTTGACTTTGATGAAACACCACTTTGTAGTGAAAAATCATTTCTGTGCCAAAACTGGTTTAAAATTACCTTCTTGCCCAGTCCTGTGAGAATGCTGGGAAGAGAGAGCATGAGAAAGAAGAAATAGCATGTGCATTGGCAGGTGTGTGTTGGCACTGAAATAGATGTCTACACACTGATTAGAAATAGTTGCTTTTTTTTCAGGGGGCTTTGGGTTTTTTTCTGAAATATGCTTTTCCAGCATCACTCAACTTTTTTTTTTAGCAACTTCAGGGTTTGACAAAATTCTGTTAAGAACATTTTAAAAGAAGGAGTTACTTCCAGGTTTAGAGAAAGGTCTGAGGGTGAAAAAATGTACTTGAGATTGTTACTGTGGGATGTTCTCCTCCAAGGAGAGCAGAAGTGTGAACCCAGTTTTTCATGCCTAGTGCCACTGACCTAGCCAATAGTTGTACCCACCTACTCCACTGCAATGTGTAACATTTGCAAAAAAAAAAGAAACTTGTTTGCAAAAAAAAAAATGAAACTTGTTTTCAAACAGGGAAACACATTCCAGTATGGAACAAATCTAGGTTTCAGAGACCCATATGAGCTGAAACTGATATCCCACACTTTAACAGAGATTAGAGCCACACCCTTTCTCATGTGAACTCTTGAACTGATATTAAAAATATAAACACCAGAAAAAATGTGTATTTAGCTAAGGAATATGGAAAGTTTCCTCAGAGAAATCTCTGAAACTGACAAGCCTGACAGTTATTCTTAGCAACTGATATGGAAGAGCAGCTTTGCTTTCTTTTGTTTTTCCAGTCACTTTGTACTGACTGATGATTTCTATAAGTATTTGAGAACCTGCTCTTCTCAACAGCTTCTTACTTTTTGCTGCTTGGAGAATGAACCCACGTATTCTCGTGCTATAAACTGAGTCTCTGGTCTTTCGCTGTTTCCTATATACACAACTTGAAGTCTTAAGCACTATTTGTTATTTCCTTCTAAACTTCTAAAATAAATTGCTTTGTCTGCAGTGCAGACTTTGTCTGCATTCTAGTCCTATTTGCATGAGAACTTGAAAATAAAACCAGCTCTTGAGGAGGAAATTATTCCAGCTGGATACAATTGTCTGACAAAAACTTGCTGGCTCCACAGAGTGTTTTTCCTTCCTCCTGACAATCATCTTTCCATCACTTTCTCTAGCCTAATTTTTTTCCCTTTGATTTTGATTTTTTATCTTTGAATTTGTTCACATTAGAAGGCAGTGAGCAGAACTGTATCACTTGAATATAATAAGATGTATATGATCTCAGATTTTTATGTTCTGCTTGTTTTATTTTGGTGTTTCTTCCTTCCTCTAAGCAGGACAAAAAAGTACTCTCATCTGGCATCATGACCATGAGGAACACAAACAGAAATGTGTTATGTAAGCAGTCACAAATCTGTCACAAACCTTATTTTCCAGTATTTTTCTACTGTTAGTGACCTAAAATTTCATTGCAGTTATCGTGACGGTATAAAATAGGAGAATGTGGTATAGGAGAGACCCCCTTAATGGGATAACATCTGTTAGTTAAACTTCCTAAAGAATTTAGTATTTTTCTTCTCTTTAGAGCAATCTTCGTTTGAGAAGAAAGCTCTAAGTTACCTTGTCTTATTGATCCTGCTGCCAGTGGGACCCCCCGGAAGCAGTGCACAGCTCAAACTGAACTAAAAGATGGGCTGATTCTGTTTTGCAAGGCTGCATCATGCCAAAACTTTATGTGAAACCAACGGTTTTATCTTAGCATCTGACACCAGGATCTTCCACAGATAAATCATAGCGGCCGTACAAACTCCATAAGGTTCATTATTTATTTTTCTTACCTGGGACTGTGCTTGAAGAGTTCGTTTCAGTTCGTCACTCTCTGCAAAGGGCATGGAGCTTTTGTCACAGGCTACCTTGTGTAGCTCTTCGAAGCACTTTTCCGATTTGCTGTGGCAAACTGCGTGTAGATAGGCAGGATTTTTCAAGCCACTCATGGCACATTCGTAAAAAGTCCCATTGAGCAAAGCCACAGAAAGCCACATCACTGGGGCTACCAGAGCGTTTAAAGTGATTTGTCCAAAGATGTAAAAGAAATGGCAGTTATTCCCTCTGGGGAATATTTTTCTAGGATTCACCCAGCAGCCTGTAAAGAGTTTCCAGGTCTTGCTGTTCAAGAAATACCCAATAACTAGCAAAACAAAAGCTGGGGAGAAGAGAAATACCAAACCGTACCTCAAGTTTTCATTGCTGCAGGGGCATCTGAAAGCAACAAGAGAAAACACACGTTCACCTCCCATTGTCAGCAGCGCCATAAAACTGTAACCTATAGCAGTTTTCCGGTTCATAAAGAATTTCAGGATTGTTTGGAAACTATCCATGTTCGGTACTCACTGAAGAGGTAAAAATCAAGACGCTTTCTTCTTCGGTCGTAGCAGTCTGTAGTGGTGCAGCAGGGGAGAGCTCTTCAGAGGAAGCACATCCTGCTGCTTGCCTGCCTGCGTGCGCACTGTCTAGATAACGCCGTGATGTCACTGTCTGGGGAAACGTGCTCGCAGGGGACCCCTCCACTAGCAGAGCAGATGTTGCACTTTTACAGCAGTAAAAGGAAAAGCAGTAAAAGGAGAAGGAAAGCAAGCAGTGCTCTATGTAATCAAACAAGTTTGTAGTCTTGGCAGTCGTATTCTTGGTGGGTGGTTGTTTTTTTTTTCTGTGACTGCAGATGGAGATCAGAGTGAAAACACACACTCACCAGTTGCAGTTCTTGAGCTGTGATTATCGAAGCTGCTGGCAATGTAGCGAAGAACCTAACATAGATGCTAATGGTCCCAGGGGAGTTTAAAATGACTGAAAGCAGATGTGTGATAACAGTAAAGCCACTTTGCATGGGGTTGTAAATGTAGCAACACTGAAGACAGAATAAGCAGCCTTCTGCTGTACTTCCCTGGAGTGTCGCTTAGCTCCAGATTTGTGTCTCTGGCTCCAGCTGATCACAGAAGAGACAAATCTAGTTTGATTCCCAGCCTGTCTGGCCCTTGCTGCTAATTTCCTGGAGTAAAGCTGGTCTATGGGGTGCTGCATCCTATTTTCACCTCTGGTTTGCACGCGAAAGGTTCAAGCAGCAGAGATTTTCATCCTTTTGCAGGTTGCTTTCAAGATGTATCTTGGGGTCACCCCTAGCGTGAGCTGCAGTAGTGCTGCAGGAAATGAATTCTCCTTAATCCTGGACAAAAACCCACTAGTGGACTTTGTGGAGGAGCTGCCAGCAGAACGAGCATCTCTTTGCTACTGTAACCTCCTCTGTGGAGTGATTCGAGGTGCCCTGGAAATGGTAAGGAAGCGCACATCTGTTTTCTCCATTCTGTGTTAATATGCAGAGGCACAGGTAAGAGAACGCACTTGCTGAGATAAATGAAGGAAATTCAGTATTCTGTAGTCTATATCTAAATAAAAAAAGGGCCAGAGTGATCCTGGATCCTGAGATAGAGAAGCACACAGGTTGGCTCCCTTCCACATTGTGCCCCCTTGGCTCTTCAGTGGCTGAACCAGGTGCAAAAGTCAGGTGGGACCAGGGAGCCACCTAACACCTACTGTGGGAACCAGGGGCCCATGCTGGACTTCTCCACTGCTCCTTGAGCTTATCTCACTTTCCTGCATAGGTGTAACCAGTAACAGTCATCTCTGATTTTTTTCCAAATACATGAAGATTAAGTAAGGTTCTGCAGTTACTGCAGTACCTACTGAAAGGGAGAACAAGGTGATAATGGGTGTAATGTTAAAAACAAAGCATCAGAAGTGTACCAGATGGCATTACAAATTTTGTCCTTACATTTAAGACTTTCACAAACGGATTAAACAAAGAGCATGATTTGAAAGTCACTGAGTATTAGAGCTTCTGTAGCATTTTCTGGAAGATAACTTCTGTGCTGCTTTATGTTTCTGTCTAATTTGTCATATATTTTATGGTTCAAGAAAACAAAAGCTGTACAGGTATTATGTGTGTCAGTCTCAGAATTGTGGTATCTGATATAAGACTAAATAACAAAAGTGTTTTATCATAGGTATTAGTACGTGACCAGGAAATTCTGTGGTCACAAAATCATCAACTACACAATTCTGGTTCTTGGAAAAAAGTAAAGCACTAAAAATAAGATTATACAAATTCCAATGTGTTTAAACTTCCTTTTTGTTAACTTAGTTGGGAAATACGTTTTAAAACAGTCTAGAAATCTGTTTCTTACAAAATCTGAGAAAGGGGTCCCCTAGTGGCAGAAGGGTGGAAGAAAAGCCCCTTGTACTGGAGGAGGGGCAAAAAACTTGGCATTTCTTTGCTTAACTAATCAGACTTGATTCTTTCTAGGTTCACCTAGCAGCAGAAGTTACCTTCCTCCAGGACAGACTGAAGGGCGATGCTGTGACAGAAATAGGAATAACGTTTTTAAGAAAGGCTGAAGACAGAAAGCACAAGAGAGATAAATGAAAGAAATATTGGGAGAAAACCTTGCTGAAGGATACGTTGTCCCTTTTGTTTCTGAAGAATGCAAGGTAAAAATGGCTTCACAGAGCCAGTTGCACCAGTTATACATTTGAAATGTGAGGAGACCTGGGCTGCAAACAAGAGGGGCAGAGCAGAGGGAGAGTGATGTTAATTGTCATGACACAGATACCAGTATAAAAGATCAAAATGGCTTACCCTTCCTTCTCACATAACCATGCTCTTGAGCTCAGTGAAAGTCTTATCTTGGCATTAAATGCATGCTGGATGCCAAATATTCGTTCAGACACTGTTGTCAGCTGAAAATGGCCACCTTTCCCCACTCTGTTTGTTGGTAACCTTTCAAAGCATGGTTGCTAGGAGGTGTGTATTTCTCTGGCTGTTTGTGGTTAGGAATAATGAATTCATCTGCTGTGACTGCTGTACGCAGTGTCTCGCTGTCAGGTGCCTGTTTTGATGTGCAATGGTCTGACATTCCTTGTTCTCCACACTGGACATCCTACTGCCTTTGAAACCAGAGAGAGCTGTGGCTTTGCTGATGGCAGGAGCTGGTTTGGTTCAGTTTCTCACGGCTCCGTCAGGCCCCACGTGAGGTTTTGCTGGCGTGCCTGTTCAGCTTCATATGTACATCAGGCTGCAGCACTGACTATGGAAGCAATGCTTCTGTTGCTTCAAGCTATGGCCTTCTTCATGTCAGTCTTCCCTTCAAGAGCACCAATCTTAGGACAAAACTGAATAAAGCATGGCGTGTTTAATGTGTAGTCACTGTGGAACTGTACTCACCTAAGGAAACTTGAATAAAAAATTCAGAGATTGCCACACAACTGGTTTACTGGTCGTTGTGTCTGTTCTTACCTGACCTTCATCACCTGCTGTTGAACATTTTCCCCTTGGCAGTGGACTTGTTACCACAGCATCACTGGGAAGTAGAGAAATAGCAGCCTTGTAGAGACCTGAGTTATAGGTAAGGTTTAATGTTATCTAGAGTAATGCAAGATATCTGAGTAAGGGTTGGACAAAACCCTAACTTCTAGCACAGTACCCTTCCCACAAAGCCAGCTCACTTTCTTCTCACCAAAGCTCCTGTTTTCAAGCTGAAACAAACCCCCTCAGTTCAGTTACGTGAAGACCAGAGTTTTATCACTGTGAGTTGTAGCCTCATCTCCTATTTTTCCCTCAGTCTGTTCACTTCCTAATCCTGCTGAGGGGCACCTCTTCCATTGGGGACGGCAGGGCTCATTCCCACCAGACCTGTACAATCCTTGCAATAATCTTTCTCCCTCCATTTGATTTAATGGTGTTGTACAGCAGTGACATAGTGTAATGGAGCTGTAAGAGAACAATTTTGCACAGAACAAAAACGAAGCTATTTATTACCCAGCTTTGGGCTCCCCCCAGCATGCTGTCACCTGCTACTAATAACAAGTTACAACATGTAACAATGTGTTACAACCAGTTAAAATTTCCCTACTTCTTTTCTTTTATTATTATTTTTTAATCCAGGCTAGAAGGTCTTGTGGAATTTACCTGATTTTAATGCCTGTGCAGGAGCCCTCGGTGGAGTTTTTGCTGTTTATGCTCAGCTGGCTGATGGATATGTGGTGACTTTGGCTGACCACAGAAAGGTTCTTTACAAGGCCTTTTTTCCTTTTTTTCAGCAACAACCTATCAACCAAATATTCAACAAATATTCACCTCTTTTTATGATTATCTGGCAAGTGAATGACTTATACTGTCCTTGTTTTGTAAGATACTATTCTCTTACATAAATCTCTGTTGCATTAGACTTGCATGCAGGGGTGTCTGTATGCACACAGGCAAGGTAACAACTTCTGTCGAGGTCTGCACCGGCTAAAACCATCAATCACCTCATTGCAGTGAGAGGTAGGCTGACTCCTGTATGTTCAGGGCCTGTTAAAGAGTTTCTGCCTGCAGGCGTTAGCTAGCAAGGTCAGGGCTGGCTATTAGAACATTTTTAAAGCACTAGTGTCATCCCGGGGCCTTCGCGAACTTGCCACATTGGCTTTGGCGGGGCCAAGGCTTTCTCCCCTTCCTTCAGTGCCAAACATTTACAGTGATGCTCCTTGTAGGACATCAAAGCTGTTTCTTTAGGTTTCAACATTTCAGAACAGCCTTCTACTTGGACAAGGTAAGTTTTGAAGGACAGGTTTCCATTGTGCAAATGAATATGAAGCAGAGATGCCTGAGCCAGTCAAGGCAGCACAAGTTTGAGATCAAACCGTGAAGTCACATGAGACTTCCAGACTTGGCTGGGAGCTAGTTCAGCCTCATGTCCACTCACACCTGTGCATCTGGTCATGCAGCGATCACACCTTTTGCTTCAGCTCTGTTGTGGGCAGACAGGCTTAGCACACAAGTGTTTCGCTGTTAGTAGTTTTTATATTTGCTTCCTATGCTGGATCGCCTCATCCATTGTATTCTAAAGAGGGACTAAATAAATATTAGCTAGAAAAATGTTAATAAACAATAGAAAAAATGGTGACCCATGCTATTTTACCATTAGTTGCTAACATTAGCTACCCTAGGCATGTAAGTTTTTTGCTTCTCTTGCTTGGTAGTGTACTTAAAGAAGTGCTCCTCAGTGTTTCATTTTAATGTCGGCCCTTCTTTTGAAGGTGGCTAATGGAACACTCAGAAGTGTTCTGAATCTCACAAAATCACAGAATCACAGAATCACAGA